AAAAATAGAATTTTATGGGTTAGGGTAAAGCAGGCCCTCAGAAAGCTGGTTCCCTGACCCTGACTGCTGACGTGTGGACCAGCCGTACTACAGAGGTCTCTATGTTCGCCTGGTGACTAAGCTAGTGGGACTCCCCAAAGTCCCTGAGGACTCAGATGATACTGTTCCGCAATAGAATGACTTTAGCATGTGTGTATTTGTATCCATACAAATACAGGGGCGGCTGTTAAAAGTCCGCTTTCCAGAGGAATAATGTTTGTGAACACAAGCTGTATGTTAAAAGTCCGCTTGGTCACCTTAACCGTTTAGACTACGTTACCCATGATGCACCTCGGTATCTGTTGGGAACGTGATTAGCGCAGTTCAGCACAGCTGAAAGGCGTTGGATGATCAGCGTTTTTCTCGTGCGTTCCTGTGTGAGTTACCCTCGGTGTGCCCGTTTATCATGCGAGTATCATATAAGACGAGAGTGATGCTTATTTGACTTTATCCGTGAGTTGCTCTGTGTATTTCACTAAGTAAGAAGCTAGTCCTGTTGCTATCGCTAAGCTGCAGGTTTTGTTGGCCTACTTCAGGCAGCCTTGGTGGCAGCTTATAGGGCATTCCATATACGACTCACTGTCAAGTATGGTGGTTGGAGGTGGATGGAACCATTTACTGTGTTTATTATCTGACCTGTAGAGATCCTGTTTGCTAATGCATATGCCAACTAGAAATTCATGTATGGTCTTAGGGTGACATCTAGCGGCCATGAGGTTATAGCAGATCATAGAACTTCATGTTGGAAACCCACAGTGCTGTATAAGCGGTACACTGCTATTCATACGAATGTTTGTTCTTTCTGTTAACAGATTACCACACCCACATACTCCTACACACTCACACTCCCTTTACCTGCATTCATAGATGGGAATGCAATTGCCTCACCACTAACGTTGTACATCCTGTTGATGTCATCTGCCACCTCCTTAATAAAGCTACTTGGACTACGTCACTGTGGAGTGCCAATCCTTCTGACCGAGGACGACTCAGTAGAAGTGTGATCGGCAATCAGTGCATACATTCAGTACAGTGTACCTTGGTGTTTCCTGCCATTTTATGAGCGAAGACTAGAACATGAATAGCTTCAACCTTGCCACCATGCATCTAGAGGAGAGGCACACTGGTACAAATATAATGACTTGGATAGAAGAGGTTTTAGCTAAGTTTGAAATCCTGCCTGTTAAAATAAAAGCAGTAGTTCATGAGAGTGGGTGGCAGCAATGAGACTGCTTGAAGAGAAACATGGATGGGCCTCTATCCGGTGTGCTGGACACACTCCAGCTCATAGTGAACACAGCTCCCAAAGAAACAAGCATCTGCAGAGCATTAGGTTGCACACATGATCTGTTTGACATTGTAGCATTTGTATTAAAATGTTGCAACAAAATTCATTAAATGCAGTTTAATGAGCTATTATTTTGTCTTTATTATCAGATGGCACATAACTGATCACACATAGAACTTGAAGCTAATGATGGGTGTATTAGAGCATCCTGGTGCAAAAAGCTATACTTTTATGAATGACATGATTGGTCCCGACTAGTCGTCACCAAACTGGCGACTAATGGACTAATAAAATAGTCGTTTGTAGCAGCCCTACTCTTTAGCGCCTAATGTGAAGACCACCATCCGAAATGTGGCACTTCAATTGGACTCAGCCCTTAAGTTTAATGCACAAATCAACCAAGTTGTGCGATCATGCTTTTTTAAATTGTGCCGCCTAGCCAGAATTAAGCCCCTGCTGTTCAGAATACATCTGCCACCTATGCTTTTACTCTATTACGGCTTGACTACTGCAATGCATTGTATGCCGGTCTGAGTCAAGGCACGGTAGCAAGCTTAAAGCTAGTACAAAACTCAGCCACTAGGTTTGTGGAAGGGACTTGGCGCAGGGACCATTTAATCTTGTGTTGGCATCCCTTCACTGGCTGCCAATGCACTATAGGGCAAAATTTAAGTTCTTGGTACTGGCATACAATGCCTTACAAGGAATGGCTCAAGCATATCTTGTCAGCCTTTTGCATAGATTGACGGGTCCTTCGCTCGGCCGACAGGGAGCTGTTGATGGTTCCGCGCACCAAGTGCAGGTCACGGAGGAACACTGCATTTTCGGTGCAGGATACTTTGGAACCAGTTGCCTTTGGTGTTGCGTCAGTCACCATCATTGATGGTTTTAAAGACTCGCATGAAGACCCAATTTTATAGAATAGACTTTATTGATCCCACAGTGGGGAAATCCACTTGTTACAGCAGCACCAACACTTAAGAGAATCTTTTGAAGAAAAATAACAAAGGTACGTGTATAAGCAGTAGTATAGAATTGTAACCTTCGACCACTAAAAGCAATGAAAAAAGGAAAAAACTTGGGTTCCAACACTATGCAGCATACTGCCAGAGATAAGGACATACTATATATACTATATATATACTATATTGAATATAGGGCTGAACGATTAATTGCACGTGCAATTAAATTGCGATGTGACAAAAGGAGATTTTCTAATCGCAAAGGATGCGATTTGACTGGCAGCGAGTGGTTAGCACAATGCTAATATACATTGAAAAACCCATAGGGATGCTAATGCTAATATCGCAGAATAGATTCTTACAAATTTCGAATTAGGAACGTGCCAAATTATTACATTTGGAGTCTAATAAAAAGTAAAAACTGCCATTTATCAAATAAGTACAGACAGATATTTTAGTAAAGCTAGAAAACTGTACTTCAACTCCAATGAGTTTTGGCTAGCAGCTGTGAACGTAACTGAACTACGGAAGCTCTGCATGGACAAGACGTCAAAAACTCTAAACACAAAAGACTTCAATAAATGGGACACACTTCTTTCCTGCAAATATATTTTCACAGTTGATGCTAATACCTATTCTCCTTCAAGGGATGTGCTCCTGGCTGCAAAGCATTGCACCTTCAAATACAAAATTTTGTCTTTACTTGAGTGTTTATGTATATGTAGACAAATAAACGTATTAATATGATATGTAGATAAATATGTAGATACATAAACTTGTTTATATTCAGTACAAGTTACAAATATTTTTTTTTTGCTTCCGTTAGTTGAAAAATGAGAAAAGCCCCTTGAGAAAATAATTGTGAATTAAATCGCAATTGCAATATTGAAGAAAAAAAATTGCAGTTACATTATTTTCCAAAATCATTCAGCCCTAATTGAATACATACTGAGTATTACATAGGTGTTATTGTATAGCAGGTTAATGCCAGTACAGCTTGAACTGAGGAGTTATACACTCTTACTGCAGAGGGGATGAATGGCCTATGGCAGTGTCAAGGCATTCCAGGATTAGCATCTTTTTCTTGGTTACGTTGCCCCAGCCGCTTATTCTTTTGCTGTATTTTATTGTCTGGTTTTACTTCTCTCTTTTAATTTTTCTATGCTGGTTTTAACGATTGTTACATTTTATTTGATGGCTTTACGTTTTATTTGTGTTGTGTTCAGCACCTTGGGCATCAGCGTCAGTTGCAGAAGGGGCTTTATAAACAAATAAATGAAATACCCGTTTTTCAACTCTTGATCCCAAACTTTGGACCGTTTCTGCCTTTTACAAAGGTGCCTGTCTTTGCTGGTCTCCCTATTTTCCTCCACAGCACCTAGATTACAACATTGTGCGTCAGTAAAATGTGTTCAGACTGCCGTGCGCACCTTTAACGAAGGAACCTCTAAAACCAACACGCGCGCACCAACACACACACACACACACACACACACACCTGTATCCATGCTGTCCAGATCCAGATGGTGAAGTAAACACGATGAATCAGTCCCAGCTGATGGATGATCCTGAAGTGGTAGCAGGTTTTCTTTAGCCGTGTTTAGCTAACAGCTGCAATAGAAACAAAGCAGGAGAGCTGATTAAGATGCTGCTTCAGAACAACTCATGAGATTAAAGATCCAACGCTTTGGTTCTGATCAGCTGAGGACAGATCCAGTCTGGAAAAGAGGACCTTTGGTCACCAGAGTTCACGGAGTAGAGCTAACCGCTGTTTGCTCCCGAGTCGAGCGCGTTTCTCAGAGAGGCCAAAGGAACCGCAGCAGACCCAGAGGACAGGAAGTCTAGAGAAAAGCTTTTCTGACCCATCACCTGCTTTTGGAGCTCCGATTGTCACGAAGACCGCTGAACATCTTCTCTGGTTCTGGAAAGAACTCGTACCAAGTTGTTGAGGAGGAGAAGAAAGCTTCCACAGCCTGTGGATGTTTACAGGTGCTGCTTCTACCACATGGGTAACCACGTGAGGTGCATTACCGCCACCTACCGGTCTGGAGTATGAACAGCTCTCCCTCTAAACCAGGTTAGGCTGTGAGCTGAGGAAGGTGTTCTGAACTGAGTGTAAACATCTGTAAGCAGCCTCTCCTGCTGCAGCTGTTCTGTCACCTGACAAAAATATGTTTCTATGACAACGGAGCAGCGGGACGTTCTGGGACGCAGCAATCATAGATGATGATGGTTCAGTTCTAGTCTGGGAAAATTAATATGATGTCTGTTTTATTCAGCAACAACATGGATGCATAAAATCAACTCTTCTATTTCATTTGTGTTTTTCTTCTATCTGACAGGAAGAAGTTGCCGTATGTTTCTACAGTTTTCTATGTGGATCCATGCAGATCCACTCATTCCCAGTATTTGTGCCACGCCAGCTCCTGATTTTACTGCAGCTTGGCTCAAATCTTCTGGTGAGTTTGAAGCTGCTCTGAATGTCAGAAAGTTGCAGAAGCATCAGAAGGAAAGCAACAACCTCAAAGGAACAACTGATGCTGTTGTTGAAACTCAACTCCTTCTGAGCTGATTCTGCTATTAAAATGATGGGAAGCTGTGTACATTTCTAACTCTGTTCATCAGCTTCATTCTACACCTACGTGGACGTCATTAGGACACGTCTCATTCATGGACACATGGCTGCAGACTGAGCCCTCCACTGCTCCCTGGCAGCAGCTGCCTTCTCCTGCAGGACAAAACACAGAGACGACAACCTGCTCAGCATCAGTGTGAGGACCATGAGACAGAGCCTGAGACACTGGTCCACTGTCCAAAGTCCCCAGATTCCAGTCCGAAGCAGCATGAAGGAGACGGAAACAGATCTGATCCACACTCTCATTAAAATGGGACCATCGTCTGGTTTCCACAGGTCTCAAATAGTCCAGACTGTCCTCTGTGTTGAATGGAAGCAGGTTTGTTTTACTGCAGGGTCCATTTGGGAAATTTCAGAGACACGTTAGTACCTGTGTGGTTAACAGCACTCATTACTACAGTTAGAATCACTAGACTGAAGAAGAAGAAACATTTTTCAACACGTCATGTCATTTGTGTTCATCAAACTGGCTTCATGCAGTTTGTGTTTTCACCACCAGAGGGAGACAAACCAGCACCAATGAATCCAGTTCCTTCCTTGTTGAAGTGGACATCAGCTCCATGACAGCTAACCTGATCAGGGATCAGTGAGTGGTGAAAACATGATGTCATCTCTGTTTGGTCAGTGATTACATCAGAGACAAGCTGGTCATGTGACGAACTGGAAGGCTTCGCCATGGGTAACCCGTTAGTGTTACCCATGTAGTTTAGTGGTTACCAGTAAAGTACAGAACTGATTTCAAAGTACTTCTACTAGTTTATAAATCAGTCAATGGCATGGTGCCAGATTCATGTCTGACCTCCTTCCTGTAGTGCAGAAAAACTCTGAGATCCTTAGGAAGCAAATCAGCTGGTAGAACCCCAGGTCGGAACAGGGTGAAGCTGCTTTTAGCTGCACACAGATGGAATCAGCTTTCTCGTGACTTCAAATGTGCCCCAACTCTAGTAGCTTTTAAATCTAAATTAAAAACCTTCATGTTTTCATCACCCTTTGAATGAATGTTCTTATACTGAGCTTTCTGCACTGTAACTGCTAACCTTTTAATTTAGTCTTTTTCTTTTTAAACCTAATTTTGATTTGTGTGTATTTTATTTTTGCTGTCACGTTGATTTTAATGTTCTTGCTATTCTTGCTAATTAGAAAGTACATTGAATTGCCTCTGTGTGTGAAGTGTGCTATAAAGTTACCTTGCCTTCAAAATTCACACGTTCACTATCGCCCTCTGGTGGACATATCAATCATTACACGAAACAATTACTCAATTAACGCCTTCCCTAAACTTTGTTCTTCTTGTGGGGCGGCTGCCTAACTTAAAAACAAAAACAAAACAAAATGTTTTCTGCTAAAATATTCATGAAGCTTTTTTTTGCCCCTAAAGAAAAACATCAAAGCGGTTAAAGGGTCAAAACGTCGAGAGAAAAGGAGATGTCTGATTTAGATAATGGAACTTCAGTAAAATAAAACTTTCTCTTGCTTTTTCTGTCCACTAGGTGGCGGTAATGAAACTTACGTTGGTTGCACCGGAAAAAAAAACAAGAAGCTGCTAGCAGAGTTAGCTTGTCGCTAAAATGTCTTCACTTCAGTCTCTGGAAGAGTTGATCAGCTAAAGCGACTAACTGAAATCTTCTCACCAGGCTGTGGAAACTTTCTTCTCCTCAACAACTTGGTGCGAGTTCTTTCCAGAACCAGAGAAGATATTCTGCGGTCTTCGTGACAATCGGAGCTCCAAAAGCAGGTGATGGGTCAGAAAAGCTTTTCTCTAGACTTCCAGCCCCCTGGGTCTGCTGCTGTTCCTTTGGCCTCTCTGAGAAACGCGCTCGTTTAGCTGCTTTCATCAGATTGAAGAGGTTCCCTCTATCAGACTCGCTCATCTGAGTTGGTCATGATGCAGGATCGCTGCTCGCTCTCTGATCCATCCTGCTCACACTCTCCGACGGAAAAGCCCCGAATCTGAATGTGACTCTGGAGGAAAAAGCGGTTAGCTCTACTCCGTGAACTCTGGTGACCAAAGGTCCTCTTTTCCTCAGCTGATCAGAACCAAAGCGTTGGATCTTTAATCTCATGAGTTGTTCAGAAGCAGCATCTTAATCAGCTCTCCTGCTTTGTTTCTATTGCAGCTGTTAGCTAAACACGGCTAAAGAAAACCTGCTACCACTTCAGGATCATCCATCAGCTGGGACTGATTCATCGTGTTTACTTCACCATCTGGATCTGGACAGCATGGATACAGGTGTGTGTGCGCGCGCGTGCGTGCGTGCGACTTCCGTGTGACTTCTTGTCTTCTGCGCATGCGGGTTGCTTTGGGGTTTGCGAAACGTTCTCAATGGAGAGTGTTTGCTGTTGCATTTCAGTTATAATGTAAACAACCACACACACACACAATCTGATTTACTGCAGTGTGAACCTCAGATGGTCTCTGCAGACAGGCTTCAGTGCTGCATAAACACAAGGAATCATTAAAGGCGCAGTAGAATGTAAAGCATAATTTATACTTCTCTGTCAGCTCCCGGAAGAAGAGACACGCATGCATGGATAGAGACAATTAGCCCTCATACTTCTCGTCTCCTGGGGAGTGTTGCAAAGCACACCCCCTGGCATATGTTTCATCTTCTTTGTTCAATTTTGTATACAATTTGTTTGTATACTTATCACCTTGTTCAATAAAGTTTTGAAAAAAAAAAAGAGTGTTGCAAAGCAATTCCCTGCCTGGGCAACAGAGGGCGTTGCACTGTTCTGTGGTGTCCTGTCATGGATCCAGTGTTGTTGACAGTTACCCCTGTCAAAAATTGTTTCCCCATTAACGGAGCGATACTATAATACTGTAAAACCAGACGAGATCATGGAAACACGTCGCTCTCCGGTGAATTTACACTCGGTTTATGCTTTGTTTTTGTTGGCTTGCTATCACGAAATAGTTTATTTGCAAAATCGATCACAGTATAACTAACAAAAGTGTCCCCCCCCCCCCCCCCCCCCACTTTTTCCAAAGTCAAGTCAAGGTTTGACCCCTGCACTTTTTACCATCCAAAAACAATACTAAGCTATATTAAATTGACACTGGTTGAGCTCTAGGACCAAGCAGAAAACAACCGTTTGTGTTGAAACCTGTTTCCCATTAGCGCATACTGTAAAGATACCCCCCCGTGCCCCCCCCCCCCCCCCCCCCCCACTTCTAAAGTGAAAATTACGTCCATGAGGAGGGATACAGATTTTATCAGGCTGTGTGGCCTCGGCTGCCAAAATGTGTGCCCCCCATCAATAATGCACATTGGCGTTGCTATCACGAATTAGTTTATTTGCAAAATAAGTCACAGTATAACTAATAACTACAGAAACTTTGGAGAAAATTTTCTTTTTTTAGACTTCTTAATTTAACGTTTAATGTTCTCCAAAGTTTCTGTAGTTATTAGTTATACTGTGACTTATTTTGCAAGTAAACTATTTCGTGATAGCAACGCCAACAAAAACAAAGTGTAAACCAAGGGGAAACAATTTTTGATGGGGGTAACTACTTTGGCACAACACCGGTCCAAGATAGTGTGTTTATATTGAGGGTTTTGTTTAGCCTGGCAAGCCAGACTATCACATATATAGTCTGGCCACGACCCATTGCAGGCTCTCAGTCGTGGGGCGGGCTCTACTGTTGTCTTTCAAACTGTCTGCACGCAATTGGATAGCGCTAGGACCAATCAGAATAATGAATAACGTGACATAATCACAGCGAGGGAAAGTGAGGGAGGCAGCAATGGCGTCCAACATCAATGGCCGTGTTCGAGATGAGCCAGTTCTGCGCAGATTAGACCAGCAGTGATCGGCGAGCAGTGCATGCCGGTTAGATTTGTGTCCGACTTGCCGTCGACTTGCTCTGACGTCATGCACACGTAGGCAACGATAACCTCGTGAGATCAAGGCGGCTGCAGATTTTGGAGCAAGGCGCTGCAGTTGCTCTCCACCGGCTGCAAAACCTAGAGGATGACGGGAAACGCCTGGCTCTCAGCTGATCTAAGATCTGATTGGTTCATATTTTGATCCAAACATCCGGTGGTAGAACATGAAATGTTAGTTGGTCACATGTATTCTGTAAATCATGTTATGTTGATGATGACAACTATATAGGCCATAAAGAGAAATGTGTTTTGTGTTCTTTCGTCACGTTTCCTATGAGCACACTGAAGCTACAGCTGCTGACCTTTACTTATTATTACAGTCAGGTCTCCATATACAATATATGATATCCACAAGCACGTGAGGATGTGTTTCAGCTGCTAACAGGCACCAGAATTAAAATTGAAAATTGAACAAGTGTGAACGCTAACACGATATCTTCAGCCATCGTCACCCCCGAGCTACACATGTAGGGAGATCTGTCCGACTTAAACGCCGGCTTTCAGCCACTCCCCCTGCTGCTTCTGTCTGCTCTCGCCTGTTTTCCAGGCGAGGCGCTGCTCAACTCGAACACGGCCATTCTCTGTGCCTCCCGTCTTCTTCAAACCGCCAAGAATCATTCCACCTACGCACACGCTTCTCTGCTTCATACCGTTTCGAACTGTCTCGCTTCTCCTCACCAGTTTTAAAGCGTTTTGCCGGAGAGTTCATCAAGAATTCCCATCCCTGTGGTGGCGCCATCTTCCTGCGTGCTTGTGTGTTTCTAGCGTGGTTCCACTTCGTCTTTAATAGTGAACTTATAGTTCACGTGACTAGAACTAGAATTGTGCAGTACGTGCACGAATCGTACAAGTGCAGTACGTGGCTAGAGGCGTGCAGGTTCACGCGCGCGAAACGAAAACGGCGGCTTCCTACAGGGCGAGGCCATGGTGTAGGTGAAAGCCGGTGTGTAAATGACAAACAAGGCTTTGGCGCCACCCGGGCGGTGAGTCGTCAAGTATTTACCGCCCGACAAGAAAATTTAGCGCCATTGGCGCTCGGGCGCTTTAAAGGTCCACCCCTGTCTCTTTTTTTGAAAGTCAATATTGTTTTTGCATTCTTGATTTCAGTATTTAATTTATTCCACAATTTAACTCCATATATGGAGACACAATGTTCCTTTACGAGTATCCGATGTCTAGGTATGTTAAATAATTCATGTCCTTTTAAATCATATTTGCTATGTCTTTTTGTAAATCTTTTGATTAAACCTGCAGGTACGTTCCTTTTGTTTGCAATATACATACATTTTAAAATATTGTAGTCCACCAGATCATAGAATTTTAGTGTTTTTAATTTTATAAATAACGGATTGGACGGATCTCTGTAGTAGCTCCTTGTGATTATTCTTATTGCTTTTTTCTGTAAGATGTAAGTGGAATTTGTGTAAGTTTTATATGTTGTTCCCTTCAGTTGTGTGTAATGAATCTAATATATATGAAAGTCTAATGTTTATCAGTACAATACAGAAAATAATGAACTTTATCACAATATGCAAATTTTTTGAGAAAGACTTGTATATCAGAGAATTACCTCAGACCAGCGGGGCTGTGTTCAAGGGATCTTTGACCTTTGAATACCCCAGAACCTAGAAAGCATTATGCAGTGCATCCGGAAAGTATTCATAGCGCTTCAATTTTTTATGTTACAGCCTCATTCAAAAATGGATTAAATTCATTTTGCCCATAAAATTCAACACACAACACACTATAATGATAATGTGGAAAAAAGTGTCTTTGAAGTTGTTGCATATTATTTAAAAATAAAAAGAAATCACATGTACATAAGTATTTACAACCTTTACTCAGTACTTTGTTGATGCACCTTTGGCAGCAATTACAGCCTCAAGTCGTTTTGAATATGATGCCACAAGCTTGCCACACCTATCTTTGGGCAGTTTTGCCCATTCCTCTTTGCAGTAACTCTCGAGCTCCGTCAAGTTGGATGGAAAGCGTCGGTGCACGACCATTTTCAGATCTCTCCAGAGATGTTCAATGGTGTTCATGTATGAGCTCTGGCTGGGCCATTCAAGGACATTCACCGAGTTGTTCTGTAGCCACTCCTTCGATATTTTGGCTGTGTGCTTAGGGTCGTTGTCCTGCTGAAAGATGAACTGTCGCCCCAGTCTGAGGTCACGAGCACTTTGGAGCAGGTTTTCATCCAGGATGTCTCTGTACATTGCTGCAGTCATCTTTCCCTCCATCCTGACTAGTCTTCCAGTTCTTGCCTCTGAAAAACATCCCCACAGCATGATACTGCCACCACCATGCTTCACTGTAGGGATGGTATTGGCCTGGTGATGAGAGGTGCCTGATTTTCTCCAAACATAACGCCTGACATTCACTCCAAAGAGTTCAATTTTTGTCTCATCAGACCAGAGGATTTTGTTTCTCATGGTCTGAGAGTCCCTAAGGTGCCTTTTCGCAAACTCCAGGTGGGCTGCCATGTGCCTTTTACTACAGAGAGGCTTCCGTCTGGGGCCACTCTACTATACAGGCCTGATTGGTGGGTTTCTGCAGAGATGCTTGTCCTTCTGGAAGGTTCTCCTCTCTCCACAGAGGACTGCTGGAGCGCTGACAAATTGAATATCGGGTAATTGGTCACCTCCCTGACCAAGGCCCTTCTCCCCCGTTCACTCAGCTAAGAAGGCCAGCCAGCTCTAGGAAGAATCTTGGTGGTTCCAAACGTCTTCCACATACATATGATGGAGTCCACAGTGCTCATAGGAACCTTTAAAGCAGCAGAAATTTTTCTGTAACCTTCTCCAGCCATGTGCCTCAAGACAATCTTGTCTCGGAGGTCTACACTCAATTCCTTTGTCTTCATTCTTGGTTTGTGCTTTGACATGCACTGTCAACCCAGGGGCCTTATAAAGACAGGTGTGTGCCTTTCCAAATCATGTCCAGTCAACTTAATTTACCACAGGTGGACTCCAATTAATCTGCTGAAACACTTCAAGGATGATCTGTGGAAACAGACTTAGGGTTGGACATCATTTGATTTTTAACGATTCTGATTCCAATTCCTCATTTCGATTCCGGTTTCTATCGATTCCCGATTCCGATTCTTTCAAGACATGACATGTTTTACATGAGCTGGCTAACCACAGGTCCTACTTGATGAAATAATCTTCAACATGAATTTTAATTCTATGAACAATAACATCACCTTCATTTAGCTGCGGAACAGAAATGGCGCAAAGCAAAAGATCCTGGTGATCAATTGAAATTTCATGAATTACTGTCATTCTCTGCCAGCATCACTGATGCAAAGAAAGCTTTCTACACTGACAAAATTCTCAGCTCTACTGACTCTCAGAAACTATTTTCGACATTCAAAACTCTGCTCAACCCTCCATCTCCACCTCCTACCAACAATCTATCAGCTGACACCTTTGCCTCATTCTTCACTGACAAAGTGGCAGCTATAAGCAAACAGTTTACTCAACTGGCCACTCCTGAACATTCGCTAACACAAACTCTTTCCTGCCCAATCATCTCAAGCCCTACTGCTTCATTTTACTCTTTTTCCCATGTCGCTGAGAACTGTGTGTCCAAGCTTCTCACGTGCAGCCGCCATACTACATGCCCACTCGACCCCATTCCGACTAAGCTGGTCCAAGCTATTGTTCCTACATTAGCCGCAGCAGTCACACATGTGATCAATGCATCACTGACATCCGGTACATTTCCCATCTCTCTCAAGCATGCTCAGGTTAAACCGCTGCTAAAAAAAACATCTCTTCCCCCAAATCATGTGGAGAACTACTGATCTATCTCTCTCCTCCCTTTTCTGTCCAAAATCATTGAAAGGGTGGCTTTCAAGCAGATCACAGAATACCTCTCACAAAACTGTCTGCTTGACCCTTACCAATCTGGGTTCAAAAAGGGCCACTCCACTGAAACTGCTCTGTTAGCAGTGGCGGGATCCTTAAAAGAAGCTAGAGCGACTGCCAAATCCTCAGTGCTTATCCTGCTCGACTTATCGGCTGCATTTGACACTGTCAACCATGGCTTCCTTTTGTCCACACTCTCTAGCCTGGGCATCACAGAGAAAGCACACGCCTGGTTTGAATCGTACCTCACAGGACGATCATTCAGTGTATCTTGGCTTGGACAATCCTCTACTGTGCACCATCTCGCCACAGGAGTCCCCCACGGCTCTGTACTAGGACCTCTTCTCTTTGCCATATACACCACCTCACTGGGTGAGATCATTCGATCACATGGCTTTTCCAATCCACTGCTAAGCAGACGACACCCAGCTCTTTCTGTCATCACCCGCTCCGGTCATCACAGGATTGTCGGCTAGCAGTGCCTACACCACACTCAGGACAATCCAGACTCTTCTCATGCATCGTTCCACAAATGTGGAATGACCTACCAAGCACTACCAGAACAGGGGCTTCCTTTCCGATTTTCAAGAAACTCCTGAAGATCCTGCTCTTCAGGGAGCATCTTCTAGACTAGCACCCTCCCTGCACCTGTCCCCCTCTCTACCTTCTACTCCTTGTTCCCACCTCTCCATGATTCATCATGCTGCCTCACTGCCACCTACGACTGACTGGAAATAGTTTGTTGTTGTTGTTGTTGTTGTTATTGTTGTTGTTAGCCTCAAGGGCAACATGCCGATCATCACTTGTAAGTCGCTTTGGACAAAAGCGTCTGCTAAATACATGTTTACATAAACATAAATGTTTACATAAACATTTAGACAAAAACATGTTTTGGAGAATAAAAGAAAAAGACTTTCAGCACAACCAGTGTGTTTGTTTCTGACCGCAACCAAAGTGCCTCTGGGATGAGAGGCTAAATGTCTCCAACATATCCAGAAACGTCCAGCTGTTTTCAGCTAAAACTCTCAGGATGATCACGTCCAGGATGACTGAGAACTACACCTCCATGCTGCAGCAGCGTTCAGTCAGAACAGAAACTTAAATTTAAACTTAAATATAGCTGCTGTCAGTAACATCCTAACAGATTTTAAACATTAAAACGCTCAACAGAAATTGTTCCAAAAGGAAATAAAAAATTTCACAACTTTGTGTGTGATTTTTATTAATAATAATAATAATAATAATTATTATTATTATTATTATAATCATACACAGAGACAGCTGGTGTGATCAGCTCTGAAAAGCGTTGATCAGAATTTGCAGATCACATTTATTTTTCACTGAGATCAGCCGCAGATTCCTCTTCTGGTCAGCATACTAGGAATCGAAATAAAAAACTTTGAACGATTCTGGGATAAACCAACAGTTGGTCCCGGTTCCAGTCGATGCTCAATGCCCAACCCTAAACAGAATGCGCCTCAGCTCAATTCTGAGCTTCACGTCAAAGGCTGTGAATACTTATGTTCATGTGATTTCTCAAGTTTTTTATTTTTAATAAATTTGCAACAACTTCAAAGACACTTTTTTTACATTATCCTTATGGGGTGTTGTGTGTTGAATTTTATGGGCTGAGGCTGTAACATAAACAAAAAAGTGGAATAAGTGAAGCGCTATGAATACTTTCTGGATGCACTGTATAAATACAGGCCTTTAACCAAAGTTTGAGGTTGCCAAGGTGTTAGAAGAATCTGATTAATTCTAGTAATCCTTTCTTTAAAAATGTTTATATATTTGTCTCAGATGAAAAAAATGAAAAAGTCACTCAAATCAAAAGTTATTTCATGTTGTCTGACTTAGTTCTGATCTCACCTTGTTAAACCAAATATCCAACTGTTTATTAATATACAGTACAGGCCAAATGTTTGGACACACCTCCTCATTCAATGTCATCTTCAAATCAAATCAAATCAACTTTATTTATAAAGCGCTTTCACATACTCAAAATGGACAAACAAAGCGCTGTACACCAATAAAAATCACAACAATAAAACAGACATATAACCATTTAAATACAATAAGAAATCCCGAGAACAAGTTCGCAATCCATATCAGTCCTTTTTCCAAAATCAGATCCAGACACATTCAAAGTGATGCTGCCCACGCAATCCCAACTTCAATGTCCAAACGCCAACAAGAACAGATGTGTTTTTAGTCGGCTTTTAAAGGTCTCAAGTGATTTGGCCTGCTTTACGTCGGCTGGCAGCTCATTCCAAAGACTTGGTCCGAGCACTGAAAAGACACGACTCCCACGAGACTTCAGGCTGTACCTGGGCACGGTTACTAGTCTCTGGTCAGCTTTTTTCTTATTTAACACAGTGCAGTAATTAGATTTTTTTTTTGTTTTGTTCTTAATCTAATTACTACACTGTGTTAAATAAGAAAAAAGATTATTATTAATCAACACACAGAACGAATATACAGAAGTCTTATTCAATGTGTTTTCTTTATTTTCAAGTGACTGCTAAGAGTGTGTAAAGCAGTAATCAGAGCAAAGAGTGGCTTTTTGTGTGTTAAGAAAATAGAATATTAAACATGGTTTCAGTTATTTCACCTCTTTTGTTAAAGTACACTCCACATGTTTTCATTCATAGTTTTTTGATGCCTTCAGTGAGAATCTACTAATGTAAATTACGTAGCATTGACCGTCTGGACACCTTTTAAAAACAGCTAAAGACCCTTTTATTTAAAGCTGCTTTTACCTAAACCTTTAATGTTCTTATTTTAACTCCAATTTTTAATCTTTCATCTGTTTATGAAATTTTAAAATTTTATGACTTTATTTTTTTCTGATGTTCATCTATTTCTGTTTTGAGATCATTATGATTTTATGACTTTGTTTTATTTTGTTTTGATCTGTGTGAAGCACTTTGTGATTCTATGTCTGTGATAAAAGTTATATAAATAAAATTTACTTACTTACTTACTAAATGGTCATGAAAACAAGGAAAACACATTGAATGAGAAGGTGTGTCCAAACTTTTGGCCTGTACTGTATGTGTGAAAATAGCATTACAGTGTTTATTAATTCACATCACGTGTTTCTGTTTCCCATAGACGTTCACCAGAGGGTTAAAGAAGAAGCTCCTGAAGATCAGAGTGCTGGTGTGGACCAGCAGAACCCTGAACAGTTCCACATAAAGGAGGAACAGGGGGAACTCAGGACCAGTCTGGAAGGAGAGCAACTCCAATTGAAGGAGGAAACTAATTTTGCCAGGTTTCCATTCACATCAGTTTGTATAAAAAGTGAGGATGATGAAGACAAACCTCTGCTCTCACAGCTTCTCTATCAGCAGCAAATAGAAGACAGAGATGTTCCAACCAGCAGCTCAGCTGACCAGACAACAGCAGAAACTGGTAGAGAAGCAGAATCTATCAGGAACTCAGTTCTGAACCGTAATGAACAGATATCTGATTCTTCAGAGACTGAAGTTAGTGAAGATGGCTCCTACAATGTGAATCTAAACGTTGAGTTATTAGACTCTGGGCCTGAAACTGGAGATGGAGACAATGACTGCAATGAGAGCAGGTCTTCTAAATCAGATATTAAGACTGTCAACAAATCCTTTAGCTGCCCTGAGTGTGGTAAAGAGTTTCTCCACAAGTGGTCTCTCCAGAGACATGTGAGAGTGACGAGTCATTCAGCTGTAAGGTCTTCAGGATGTTTGGTTACTAAGAAAATTGTTAGAGTAAAGCAACATGTGGACTCATGCAGGAAAGTCCAGATAGAACCAAAATCATTTAGTTGTGACATTTGTGGAAAAATATTTAGTCATAATAAAAATTTAAACAGTCACAAGAAAGTCCACACAGGACAGAAAATTTTTACGTGTGAGCTCTGTGGGAAAAGCTTTAATCAAAGGACAAGTTTAAACAGACATGTGAGAGTTCACACAGGACAGAAACCTTTTGCATGTGAGCTCTGTGGGAAAAGCTTTATGCAAAGGACAAGTTTAAACAGACATGTGAGAGTCCACACAGGACAGAAACCTTTTACGTGTGAGCTCTGTGGGAAAAGCTTTAAGCAAAGGACACATTTAAACAGACATGTGAGAGTCCACACAGGACATAAACCCTTTGCTTGTGAACTCTGTAAACAAAAATGTAGTGAAAAGGCAAAACTAAACTATCACATGAGAGTCCACACAGGACAGAAACCTTTTGCCTGTGAGCAATGTGAACAAAGATTTAGTCGAAAGGCAAATTTAAACAGTCACATTAGAGTCCACACGGGACAGAAACCTTTTACCTGTGAACTCTGTGGAAAAAGCTTTAATAACAGCTCAAATTTAAACGGTCACATGAGAGTCCACACAGGACAGAAACCTTTTGCCTGTGAACTCTGTGGAAAAAGCTTTAATAACAGCTCAAATTTAAACGGTCACATGAGAGACCACACAGGACAGAAATCATTTGCTTGTGAGCTCTGTGAACAAAGATTTAGTCAAAAGGCAAAATTAAACAGACACATGAGAGTACACACAGGAGAGAAACCCTTTGCTTGTGAGCTCTGTAAACAAAGATTTAGTCAAAAGGCAACATTAAACAGACACATGATAGTCCACACAGGACATAAACCGTTTGTCTGTGAACTCTGTGGAAAAAGCTTTACTCGAAGGGCAACTTTAAACACTCATATGAGAGTTCACACGGGACAGAAGCCTTTTGCCTGTGAGCAATGTGAACAAACATTTAACCATAAGAAAAGTTTAACCAGTCACACGAGAGTCCACAAAGGACACGATAATCAATTTCCCTCTGGGATTAATAAAGTATTTTTGAATTGAATTGAATAACTGTATTTAGGCTAGGCAGTTATTTTATAGCACATTTCAAACACAAAGGCATTTCAAAGTGCTTTACAGAAGCAAGAACAGCAACAGCACAGTTAATCAAACAAAGAAATGTAAATATTTATTTCAGATTTAACAAACAGATGAAAGGCATGCTCAAAAGGGTAGCAGTTACAATGCAGAAAGTGCAGCATAAGAAACATTTGTTCAAAGGCTGATGAATACATGAAGGTTTTTAATTTTGATTTAAGACTTAATAGAGTTGGGGCATATTTGAGGTCATGAGGAAGCTGATTCCATCTGCGTGCAGCATAGTGAATATAAAAGCAGCTTCACCCTGTTTCGTTCTGACCTGAGGTTCTACCAGCTGACTGTGTCCCAAGGATCTGAGAGCCCTGCTGGGTGTATATATTAGAAGGAGGTCCAACATGTACTTTTGCCCCATGCCATTGAGGGATTTATAGACCAGTAAAAGCACTTTGAAGTCGATTCTGTAGTTTACTGGTAACCAGTGTAGAAATTAAAAGGCCCAGTGTATGAGTTTTCCCAGTTTACTATCAAATCCTGTGTTTCCAGTTCACAAACTTGTCCTTTTTCACCAATATTTCTCACCAACATCAATTCTAAATTTTCCTCTCTACTTGAAATTATACATTTTTAAATACATAAACTGTTGTCGAAGCTCCATGGTCATCCACTATCTTAAAATACAGTAGCTGTTTAGGGACATACGAGCTCCACATTACCCGTTTGGACTGTGACAGTAACCTGAAAGAACCAGCAGAGGGCAGAAGTACGCCCTGGAAGCATGGAGTCTGCTAATTCAAGTAAGAAATAGAAAATAATAGCTACACCTTTGCTGTACTTGTTAGTTTGAATAAAAAACAATTAAATCAAAAGACATAAAATTTGTCAGGTCGTCGTCATGTCCTACACAAGGAAGCTGCATATGTTCAGACCTCCGCCCGCTATTAGCTGGACGCCAGCCTCCGATTAGAGTCTCTGACTCCCAAACTCACCTCAAGTTGTTCACTGGCCTTTTCCTAGTACCAGAACTCCCAATCCAGTCCCAACGTGTCTGTACCAAAGCCCTTCTACTCAAGTCTCCTCTCTTCCCGCAGCCTGCCGTCTCGCCTGACATGCTCCAGCGCTCGTCCGCTAGCCAGTGGCTAAATCAGCGTTGTTACTTTATCTCCACAACACTACTAACAGCGATGTAGTTCTCCACGCGTTACAGAGATGCTCCGACTTCTTCTTAAACATTACCTTTAGACTTGGGTCTCCTTTGGCTGGTAATCTGTGGGAGTTTACATGCAGCATACACAGCGTCTCCCCGGCTCTAGCCATGGCTAACTGGTAGCTCGTGACGTCCATCTCCACCACGCCAGCCGTGAGCCACAATTAGCTGGTGGATAAGTCAGCATTGTGTACTTGATCTCCAGCGTGTCCCCAGCTCACCAACACTCATTCACCAGCCTTAGTTAACGATCAACCAGTGATTGCTCCATATCCATATAAGCTGGTAGCGGCAGCCAGTTTGCTTACATCGAGTGGAGCACTCCGTGATCCACGTGAAACGGGTGTTGTGGGAAATCGGCAACAGAAGCTGAGTGACAATGCGCTTTCGTACAATAGGTTCAAAGCAATTTATTGAGTTGTAAAGGATACGTAAACACCGTGTGACCTTAAGACATGTCGTGTGAATGTGAAATTTAAAAGACCGCTCTGGCTCCAGCCAAACTCCTAAAATTTCATTTTAACAGAAGGATGAACCGGCGAGGAATCCAAAAAATAAAGATTAAGAGTCCTGTCACTGTCAGATAGAGTACTACATCAATGAAACAGCATGGAGTAAGTCTTAGATTTATTCAAAAGAAGTTTGTTCTGAGCTAGCCAGAGCTGCACTTCGTCAAAATTAGGCTGAATAGCTTCTTGTAATTCGGATTTACTCAACTTAGAACAGTATAAGACCGTGTCATCTGCATATAACTGAACAGAACAGGATCTGCAGCACCGTGGTAAATCATTAATAAAAATTGAAAATAATAACGGCCCAAATGAAGAGCCTTGGGGAACACCTCTGATGACTCCTCGCGTGTTGGATTCAGAACCATTAAAGGAAACAAATTGAGAGGGATGATGAAGAAAAGAACTAAACCACAGTAGAGGCGGCCTTGACAGACCAAAAGCATATAATTTATCTAAAAGTAGATAGTGATTGACGAGGTCAAAGGCTTTTGTTAAATCAAGAAAAATCGCACCACCAAATAAATTATTGTCTAAACCAGAATAGATGTCATTAGAAAATTTAAGCAGTGCAGTAGTTGTCGAGAAGTTTTTTCTGAACCCCGATTGGTACTGAGATAGTAGGTTGTTGTCCTCTAAGTATTTAGATAGTTGGATAAAAACCAGTTTTTCAAATACTTTAACAACTGTATTAATTATAGCAATGGGTCTATAGTTATTAGGTTCAGATGTATCATTTCCTTTATGCAGTGGTATTATTTTAGTACATTTCCAAGCTTTTGGAACAGAACATGTGTTAATAGAGTGATAAAAAAGAATAGATAATGGTAAGGCTAGAACATCAGCAGCTATCCTAACAAAGCGACTCTCTATGCCATCTGGACCTGCAGTATTCCCACTAGAGAGAGACAGTATAACTTTACGCACTTCCTCTGAACGAATTTCAGATAAAGAAAATCCACTGGAGCAACAGTGAGGCAAGGTGTAAGACCCATGATGTTCTGCAGAGGTAAGGAAAGGAGAGGAAGCAAAGTGCTTACTGAATGCTTCAGCAATTTCAGCCGGGTCATTAATAAGACTCCCATTAACATTCAGATGTGAGATTTTAACATTAGTTTTCCCCCTCAGATCTTTAATTTTATCCCAGAAGCGCTTAGGGTTATTTATATCCTTATGCAAACCATTCTTATAAAAATTAGCTTTAGTATTCCTAGTTTGGGTAGTACAGAAGTTTCTTAGTTTTCTATAAACTGTCCAATGCTCATGCAGATTGCTAAGTTTTGCTACTTTCCACGCTTTGTCGCGCTTCTTAAACAAAGCAATTAATTCATGAGAAATCCAAGGCAAATGGCTGCCCTTAATTTTTACACTGACCCAAGCTGCATGAACTGAGAGTGGAAAAATGCCCAAGCATCATTAACATCGGGTATAAGAAACCAATGCAATTTTGAACCTTTTAATTTGGAAACAAACTTATTTTTGCATTAACACTGAATGTGGAATAACTTAATTACAACACGAGCAAGTCAGTTTTAAATAAAAGACATTAGTGGTATTCATTACTTGTGGTATATTCAGCATTTTTAAAATCTATTCAGGATTTATGTTTTCTTGTTGTTTATTCATTTTTCTTATTTTTTATTCTCCTTTTTTCTCCTGTAATAAGTGTCATCGCTGCTGTGACATCTAGCTTTCCCCACTGAGGAACAATAAAGGGATTTTCTATTCTATTCATCTATCTGCAGCCTTTCCACTTCCTGTTTACTGTAGGTTAAATCTTTTCTCACAGACCAACAAAAAAATAAAAATATAATTGTACCTTAAATGAAAATGCAACATCTCACCTGTTAACTTTCATGTTTTGGAGCAAAAAAGAGCATAAAACCAACATATTTAAAGCTCAGTTTGCTCCACTCATTTACTGTGATGCTCACCTGTTCCAAAGCTGAGGAGGAGACTCCTGTTGTTTTGTTCATCTTCATCACAATAATGACAACATTAGATGACAACAGGTGCTCCCATAGGTTCGTGCTGCTGAACATGTCTGAGCTGCTTGACCACGTTGTGTGTCGGGGAGGAAAAATAAAAACTACAGCAGCCACAGAGTCATGCTGATTTGAGCGTGTCGCTGCTCGCTGGAGTTATATCAGCTCTGTCTGGAAGTTACCCCCAAATTCCACTACCTCCGCTCCGTTGCGCTCCGCTCCGACACGAACGCCGGAGCAAAATCGGTCCCGTTGTAGTCAATCAGAGCAATTCCACTACTGCGGCCGTGCTCCGGCAGTGCGGCGCCGTGCGCCGCCCTCTGTTCCGGCGTCCGGCAAAAATAGAATCGATCCTATTTTCGCCGGACGCCGGAGCACCTCCGCAGTAAATGGACAGAAATCACAACCGTCCAACAGGAAAAGGAGCAAGCACACTTTCCGTTTTTCACAATAAATCGATAAACAAAAGGCGTTTTTTGTTTCATATGTACAGGTTTAACAACTTTTAACAACTATCAGTGGCGGCTGAAGTTTAAATGCACAAAAGTAAGCCATAAATACAGTTTCCACTATCAAAGTAGTCACACTTTGTTGATCCAAACACTGATGATCTCTCAACACAAATGATGGGCAGATTAAACAGTTCATTTCGATGCTTCTCCCACACAACGGGTGTTTGGATCTAACTTCCACGTTTATTGCTCGGACTGTATCGCAAGATCTCGAAAATCCCGCGCATGCTTGTTTGCCCACCTCAGGTCTCTGCACCGGAGCTGAGCCGTTGTAGAGCGGGTACCAGTAAAAATTGAGTTCGGAAGCGAGCGGCTGCGGAGGGCGGGGGCGGACCGGAGCGGAGCGGAGGTAGTGGAATTTGAGGGTTAGTTGGAAAACTTTCTCTTTCGGTCGTGAACACATTACTGAGCGGTTAAAATCTCTGTTTCTGGGCTTCAACGTCGGCAAACAGCTGAGTAAACTCGCTGAGTGACAGGAGTGTTTAGTTTGTCCGAGACAGCGAAGCTGCAGACACCGGCAGCAGACGCTGAAAAAAACACAAAGGAGGGGGCGCTTCGGCTCTGCGCTAACACCACAAAGCATCATGGGAGTTGTAGTCTTTGCGGTAAAATCGGCCAGCGGGTCAGTTTTAATTTATCTCACGGGGTACATAAAAATGCTCCACGGGCCAGATGTCTGACACGTGTTCCAGGTTAAAATATCCAACAGTATTTTTGTTCTCAATTTCCTTTGTTTCATTCTTGCCGCTCAGAGCTTTGCTCTCAGTACCAGATTTGCACTTACACTTCCTGGCTTTCTCCTTTGCAATCCCTAAGTTTTTGGTTGCAATTCTGGCCTTGTTCGGTTTGAGCAGCGCCTCGCCCGGAAAACTGACAAGAGCAGAAGGATGCAGCAGGGGAAGTGGCTTAAAGTCGGCGTTTAAGTCGGACAGATTTCCCTACATGTGTGGCTCGCAGGTGACTATGGATGAAGATATTGTGTTAGAGTTCATACTTGTTTAATTATTTATTTTAATTCTGGTGCCTGTTAGCAGCTGAAACACATCCTCACGTGCTTGTGGATATCATATATTGTATATGACATGACTGTAACAATAAGATATCATATATTGTATATGAAAATATGGCTGTAATAATAAGTAAAGGTTATCGGCTATAGCTTTAGTGTGCTCATAGGAAATGTGACAAAATAACACAAAAGACATTTCTCTTTATGGCCTATAGAGTTGTCATCATCAACGTAACATGATTTACAGAATATATGTGACCAACTAACATTTTGCAGTCCGCCACCGGATGTTTGGATCAAAATGTGACCCAATCTGATCTTAGATCAGGTGAGAGCCAGGCGTTTCCCGTCATCCCCTAGGTTTTGCAGCTGGTGGAGAGCAACTGCAGCGCCTTGACACTTCCCTAATTCTTAAGTTCTAGCAAACTGTCCAGTTCGGCCAAACTGGGTCAGTAAAGCATAAAGAACCATCCATTTCAAGGTCAAACTTTCTTTGAAAAACTGCAAAGCTTCATCAGATGCAAAACTTCATCTGACCGCCAGCAGTCACCCTGAGAGTATCCCTTGGCCAGCGGTAAAGTATTCAAGGTGGACCTACGTGCTTCACCACAGAAGTCAATTCCACTGGCGGCTTGTCTGTACCAACTTCTCCGGCACCTGGATCGTCGGGAACCTTCATAAGGGTTCGTAGATTCTGCACACCTGGTGTGGATGGTTTTATTAATTGATAGTTTGTCATATCATTAAATATATAGCTAGACTTATTTTACAACCCAGACGTCACCATTTTCTAAGACACTTAATTAGGTTTTGTTAACATCTAAACTTACATTGCATTATTTTATTCATTGTCTCAGTTGTAATGATAATAGAGGATAAATTGCTTAAGACCTATTTATTATTATTATTACCACCATTTGTGACCAAAGCTATGATACTCTATATAAATATAGAATATTGCCTGCTTGGTCTTAGGATGATCAATTAGAAGATTATAGAATTATTTTAATTAATAAGGGATCGTACACACTTCGCTTTGATTCGAGAAACAGTCAGGTTTATAAACAAAATAAATTCTTATTTTATAAACCATTAAGACTTGACAAATTGTTTAAACTAGTATTTACTGTGAGTGGATGCGAACTAAAGGGATGGTGTCTGGAACCTATGTGTGAATATAATGTATTCCGAATCTTCGTTCTCAGAGCCGAGTTCTGGATATAAAATAATTTGGTTTGCAGATAAGCTATAAATTGTTATTATCAGAACCACATTCAGACGCTGTCTCGCTGTGTCTACCTCACCTGTACTGGAACCCGATGACCCCATGCACCTGGCTCGTAGAAAAACCTTGATGCGCCCAAATCAGTCCTGGGATGTCTCCCGGGTCACAACGATAGATGAACCCAAGCGTCTTAAAAATAACTCTGAAGGAGTTTTGAGTCAGCTTTGTTCTGTAGGAAATTATCTTGTTGTTTCAGCTTCGCAGGTGCAAAAAAGGCTTAAGGTTTTGACAACGTGTCAAAATCCTTGTGGTTAAAGAGGGGCTAAAGATGGCTGGTCTAAAGCTCGCTCTAGAACTAGCAAATTACTCAAAGCCATCTGGTTTTAAAGAATGGTGTAACGGAATTGAAGTGATGTAATAGAAAGTGGAGGACTCCACTACAGACCTATGCTCACCAGGATCCAAGTGATATAGAGAAACCTCACCCACGTGGACCGTTGCACCCCGGGGAACCTTTACCCACAAGGTCGCAGATGGTAGGTCCACCTTAGTAGATACCGAATCCTCAAAGCAAACTTCAGCTTCACTAGCAGGGGTATTGAGTAACCAACGGTCGCCAACGATAACAGCTTTACTGCTCATCACACGCGAACGCGGAGTCACTGTCATAGGACATTTAGATGTATCAGACAACTCATCAACGCCACACACGACAACAGCCTCCCTATGTATAAAAGGCGTGCCAGGGCACATAAAGTGCAGACCACGGTTGAGAGAACACGCGCTCAAGTCTGGTACCAACCTGACGTGGGGCGCGCGGTCCTGATACGCAATGACCGGAGGCGTATGCAACTTGACATGAGAGTTGTGAACCCAGTTACCGACATTCACGACATCTTTCAACCTATAGATGTTCCGTGGAGAAACCACAGGTAAGTTGATGAGGAAGGCTAGCTCTCCCGCCTCTGGAATGACGGATAAAGGAATAGCACTGCCCAACGAGAAGCCTAGGTGAACCTGTAGCGTAATTGGGGCCTCAGAGGTCACCCTAGCAATCGCAGCCCGGACCATGTCTTGGGACACGAGGTAAGGAGGGATCCTCCCCATAAGGAGAAGGTCGATTGAGGCGCTCACGTCCCGACCATAGTCGGCCAAACAAGCCGTCAGCATCTGCGTATGACCATAATCAACCTCCACAAACGAACGCAACTCATTCACGGCGGCTGTTGTCTTACGCAAAATGTTACTGTGGGTGTTCAGCACCACCATAGTTTGTTTTTCAGACACGCCCAGCTGTACCAGGGCACGCCGCTGCTGCAGTACCTGTTTACGCAGCTTTGGGTATTCCCTGCTAAGCTCATCAACGTGTCGACAAACCGTGTGAATCTCAACCGAGTTGACGGCGGAGAACGCAAAATTTAAGAGATTGCCAATAATATTTCCGATGGAGAAAAGTCCGTCCAGGAAACGCTTTGGTCTTTTCCTGGTACCAGCAAGTTCACTGTTAGAAACTGTGAATTTTAGCGCTTGTTTTAGGATGTGACCGACATCGGCAACCGCATGCTGTATCATCGTACGAGTCCAACGTTCACCCGTCTCCGACAGGTTGCCAAAGGCCGTCTTCATTTTATCAGTACATGCCATAGCGGGGTCGAATTGTACGAAGATCTTTTGCGAGTACAATCGATAGTCAGTCATCAGTAGACCTGGGCGGTCTCGGAGTGCGATCCCCGAAGAGGGCCCAGGGCTATACAGTCGCGTCAGTGGAGGCCGATGATCGGTACCAACCGCAGGTGATAGCAGGCCAAAATACACGATCAACAGAACACAACTCACCAGAGCCGGGAATGGAAACCAGGGGCGCTTCAGGTTGTAGCCTCGTGTGGTCACACGAGGGTCCGGCGCAGGTGGAGGTGCCGCAGGGCCAATGGTCGACGCACAGGTGTAGTTGGAGATGGCCGAGCCAGGCAGCGCCGGTCCAGGGCCCCAGTCCCCCACGTCCT